TACATGAAAGAAAAAAACTTCCCCAAATAACCAAGGGAAAAATTTTACAAAGAATCTAGTGATGAGAATGAAAAGAAAATTATGTTTCTATTTTGAAGATTATTCCAAGAATCGATTCAATTTTATCTTGAGAGTTAGGCATACTCGGAAACAAAGATGATGATAATAATAATAGCCCAGCCTTGGGTTGGTACGAATCTTGATGACTCATGATGCCTTTTTCATACTCATTGTCTGTTTCTTTATGGAACAGTGAAGCACAGGACATTTAGGAAAGAATTGTAACATAAAGAACATAAAAGGGGAGACTTGAAATTAGAATATAGGAAAACTTCCTAAAGTAGATGCCTGACAATATTAAGTCATGATGTTGTGCGATTAAAAAGAAAGGCTGAATTAGCAACCAGGAATAACCCTGGGATCAGAATGGTAAAGGAAGCAGAGCAGATATGCCTGTGAAATCATCTTATTTCATTACAATTCCACGTTTGTCTGAGCTTCATACAGCTCTGTGTAGCATTCTTGGCTCCCTATTTAAAGCTCAACCAGAAAACATAAATATGGGGAAGAATTCAGAGAAGAGCTCTAAAGATTATTAAATACTAAAGAAATAGGGCCCATAACGAAATATTCAAAGAACTGGACTTTGGTAAATCCTTACTCATTGTTTTAGAATTCATGACGATGTACATCACGGAACTTCCTGTGGGAAGGGCTGAGTCCAATAATTCCAATTATAAGTATCTTATAAAAGAAATATCCAAACTTGGCTGCAGGATCTTGGTGGCAGCGGATCTCCATCCACTCACTGTGTATTGGTTTACCTAGTTCAGCGTCCTTGGGGGAAGGGCATTCTAACAAGAATTTGTGGTGGTTAATGATTGACTTTTTGCAGCGAGGGTAGAATGAAAAGAAAAAAAAATGCTTACTTAGACTTTGTAAACAACGGAGGAGTTAGTTTAAACAGAGGTTGTTCAGAAGGGGGCCGTGGAATCTACTTCTCTGGAGAGTTTTAAAAATAGGCCAGGCGCTTGTCTCTCTGCGCTGGTTTCCAGCCAGCCGTGTAGCAAGCGACAGCCACGGCCTCTCGTGTGCCCTTCCACCTCTCCAAGGCTATAGGCTAAAACAATATCCGGCGAGGCCTCCTGGGCAGGGTCAGTTGTTTCTCACGAGAGCACTTGCTTACCACATGGCATGATAAGTGTAGGAGGGAGGGTGGGGGGTCAGAATGCTCCTTGAACGGCACTCGTGGCATGACGGACACAGGGCAGGCACTCCGTCTGCTAGCACCATCGGCTGAGAGTCACAGAGGATGCCAGTTAGTAGTGAACGATACTGCTCTGTTGGATTTTATTTGTCCCATTGTTTTGTGAGTGTGTGCGTCTGTGTGAAAATACAGTAAGTAAAACTAATTAGAAAGGAAACGTGGTTAAAAATCCAGAAAAACATATGGAGAGAAAACCTTCCTGTTTTGTTAGGTTAGGTTCTGATGTCAAGCACTTGATCCCGACATTGGAGCCTAACATTCAGTATTTGAATTTTCCTGGGTCTGAGGCCTGTCCAGGGTTGTGTTATGCTGCTAGCACGTGGGGGTTTTCCTCTTAGAAAATGAGCTGTGTTCCAGTCGCCTAGAGCTGCTGGGTGATGGCCGGCTTCTCACAAGAGCTGAAGAGACAGCATAGCTGACAGGAACAGTCAGAGGTAGCTTTAAATATCACGCACCCCATCATTTGGTGGGTGGGTGTTATCGCTAACGGCGCTTCCACTTCAACAAAGAAAGTGGTGAGTTGCCAGAAAACAAGGACGTTCCATCTTAAGGATTATGCTGAATTCTTTCCAGAGAACCACTTTTTTTTTTTAAGATAAATTTTATCCTAAAATATTTTTCAGATTTACTTAGGCACTCTATCCAAGGAAAATCGTTTTAAAGTATTGTGCCGTGTAACAGCTATCTATAGAATTAGAACAACTTCTCTCAACAAAGGTCTATGTTTATTCATCAAGGGGTATCAGATGGCCTGTATGACATGGGGGCACCTGCCAATGCCACAAGTATGCAGGCTGACCAAGGAGGCATAAGACAGGCAACCTACAGCCTAGCAAATTTATAAACAGGTGGTGAAAATATGATTTTGGTTTTTTTTTAATTGTTTTTTCTTTTTCTCTTTGCCTTCCATAATTGCTGCATTTCTGAAAGGTCAATTTCATTTTCTTCAGGAAAAGGAGACTTTTTTTTCATCTCCCAAATGCTAAGTTGATGCCCTTCCCTAAAAGTCTTCCCATTAACTAAGTTGGCCTGAAGGTCACACACCATGATCAATTTGAAGACTGGTGGCTGCAAGGTGCTAATTGACATCCCCAAAGATGGACCGTGTCAACAATCAATAGAGAAGAGCAGAACACGGGTAGATTTATGGCTTTGATTTTGAAAAGGTATGGGAATGCCCTGTGATGTTTTTTCCCTGTACTCCTTTTGAATATTAATGCTTTCTTGAAGATGATTTCAGACACACTGCTAGGATACTGCCTGTACTCACTGAAGCAGGATCCTCTGAAGAGTTGCTGAGGCAGAACTGAAATCATGGCTTGCCTCAAAGAAGCAGCTGTATTGGCCACTAATGATGCCTCACACAGAAAGACGATGCTCCTTTAACTCGAGGGTTTTAATGGGAAGTTTCGGAGCCTGAAACAACAGCTTTGGATCTGGGGTGTGCCATCAGCAACTGGCAGCTTAGCTACCACTGTGCACTGCTGTAACACAGCCTGGCTGGGAAGAATGGAAACGAAAGAAGCTTGTAACTACCTGTAACTGTTCCACCAGGAAGTGAATCCACTGTTGGTTCAGCCAGATCCAGGTACTTGTCCAAAACTGTGTCTGTGACAGGCTAATCGAATGCTTTTCTCTAACTTTACAATGTAGGCACGAGCAGGAATCGCATAGATGCCTTTTGAATCCAAGTTCTGAATTTAGATCTCGCTGGCAGATAAAGTCTAATTAAACAGTTGCTAGGTAAAGCTAATGGAGGGGGTTGAAATGTAATGATGCCTTTATTTTTAAAGCACCTTTAACTTTATAATGCTACTGATACTGGGTAAAAGAGTAGTATCAAACAGGCTTTTTTTTTTTCTTTGCTAAGCTGCAGTAAATTATTCTTGAAAGCTATTTGACCATGCAGTACTTTTTTCCATTCACCTAAAACATCCAGCCTTCCGAAATGTAATAGGGATGTTTTAATTTGTTTACAAAGGATCACAACTTAACAACTCCTAATGTTAGCGCTGCCAATCCCTGCTGTCCCTGGGTGATGAGCAGGGTGCAGCCTCAGCCTTTTGAAGTTATCAGCAAGCACGCTTTTCCACTAGGACACACACACACACAAAGAGACAGAAAACTAGGTAGATTAGTCATGTTTGTTGTTTGAAATGAAAAGTTCTAGTTTGCTAATGGTGCCTTTTGATACCCCCAGTTACTGCCTGAGATGAGGTGGTATTTTTCTGATATTCTCAGCTAGGCTGCAGCCTTGCCCGGCAGTCCCTTTAAAACTCTTCAATGGATGAAAATAGGGAAGAAGTAAAGTTGAGGTTAGGGCTCAGCCTGAAGAGAGGGGTCTCCTTCTGACTGAGAGCTAACAAGCACGGGAGAGAGGGAATAGCAGGGTGCACTCCCAAAGTGCAGGCTGACTTTGCAGAGACGCCAGAAGAAACAGACCTCCCAGGGCAACAGTGTAGGCTGGCAACAGTTTTGAAACTGCCTGTTGACATTTGTAGCTGACCAGGTTCACATGTCTTTAAAATCATTGTTTTATTGGCTTTGTAGCAGCCTTGGGTCTATCGTTAGATTGTATAAAATAATGTTTACTCTTAGCAATCCTGTGAATTCTAAACATAGGGGCTATTGTATTGGAACAGGAGGGCTGTGTTTGGAAAAGAAGACTATGGAAATTGCCATGTATTTATGTGAGGTTCACCGCCCCCCCCCAGCCCCGCCCCCAAAAGGAGAGGGCAATGGTTAAAATGCATGAAGTACTTAGAAAGAACCAGAATATCTTTACCTGAAGTTCTTGGTTGGTCACCAAGATGGCCATGGATTCTTTGAATGTATAGGAAACCTTTTGCATATTGGTGTGTCCATCCCGGAATGCAAGTTACTGTTCACGGGGCTCATTCACAGAATTTCTACAAGATTCGTAGGTAAATAACTTTTGCTTATGTAGTGATTTGATTACTTAGATGATGAGATGGCTTTTGTGGAGGGTTCACAATTGGGAGGGGAGATGTATAATAGGGTCGACTGAGGTGTTTACATGTCTGGGGAGTGGTTGTGGGGTGGACTCCAGAGACACGGGCAATGCACAGAGGCTTCCTTGAGCTCCCTCAGAAAATAGAGAATAATTCTATTTAGCTTCAGTCTCAGGTTACACATGACTTTAATCATTGAAAGCCACGTTAACATTTCAACAGTCAGCTTCAGAACTGTGGCAGAAGAATGCTGCACTTTGAGTTTGTCTCTGCCAGTTGTTGCAGATCCAGGTCTGCTTACCTAGCCAATTCCTTTTCTGTAACAGTCTACGGATTGGGCTCACCAGTCTGCCGGATAAATATAAATAAGGTACACAGGGTGTCTTTGTAGGACAAAGTGTCCTGTCTGTCACATGCGGATGTAAACTGGACAAGCCCATGAGTGTTCTTGCTCAATGGGCATGCTGTCTTTTTACCTACTTTTGAATACATGTCAAGTCATATAATCAGGTTTCTGGCCTAGAAGTTTTAAAGATGAGGTGTGGCAATTATGTGGTTTAGGAGTACTTAAAATACAGACAGCATTGCTTAACTGTACCCTGCATGCTGTTAGCAGCAGAGGGGTTACGGTTTTCTACTCATTCCCACAAGTCAGAGGGAAACTCACTACCCAGCACCCTTAGGGGGATGCACTTTTGGCAACTGACTTTTTTTTAAATTTTTATTTTGGGCAGTTTACTTGTAATCACCATTCCTTCGTGTGCTTGTTTGCATAACAGAAATTAAAAAGAAGTCTTATTTTGCACAAAAATGGTGTAAGAGAAAACACTGAATCATTATCACCTCTTTGTTGACCACTCACTATGGGCCAGTGTCTCTACCGCAGCTGTTACCATGGCAAGAGGGTGGGTACTAGAGGTGATGACCACAAAAGTGAGATGGCAGAATCAAATACCTGTGTGCTGTGCCAATTGCTCTGAACTCATAAGATAATAAGAAAAGAGACATGTCATTGCTTCAAGATATATTGTCATCGATAAAATATTTTTTCTTACTGTGAAATTGTAGAATGAGACACTAATGAAATGAAATGTCTAAAGGAAGGATCCAAGCTTGAGAAGGGTACATGTTGACATTTATAGTGTCCGTGTAAGACATTTAGATTCAGGATATTTTAAATGGCTGCCCCCCACAAAACAGATTAGATAAGAAAGTGTTGACCCCTCAAATAGAGGGGAGTCTTATATTTCAGACCCTACCCATTAGCATTGAGGCCAAGGAAAAATTAAAGAGCCAAATAACTGCTTTTTAAATCGTGAAATCTGTGACTATTAAAGTGTCTTCGTGACTCAGACTATGTGTGGTTCTTTGAAACCAGATTTATTTCAAATACAATGGCCTGACATCCCAGTTCAGTTGGATGACATGTGCTTTTTTTTTTAGCCCCTGTCTGTATTAGCTGGCACCCTGAAGTTTGAATTCAGTTCCCTGGGGCTAGAGATTTGATTCAACCTCTATTGAAACAGGCAATGATCCTAGAACACCAAAGAATTTCTCAAGGAGCTTGTTGTTTAATAAGGGGAAGGAGATGAACCCCATGGAGACTTATCTTGTATAAATGTTGCTGCAGAAATACAGGTGAGGTGCTCCTGGAGACAGAGCAAGAAGCGCCCATTTCCTTTGGTGAAGGAACAGATGTAGGTCCCACCAAGGAGGTGGTGTTTGGTGAGGACCCTGAGGGAAGAAGAGACATCTACAGGAAGGAATAGGGCGAAAGGAGAGCGTTGTGAAGTAAGCACCATGGGAGGTGGGAAACCTGGCTGGTGCTCACAGAACAGCAGGTGCTGAGGAAGACTGTGAGCAGACCCGGGGAGGACGCCTCCTCAGGTGTCTGCAGACTCAATGGCATGTCAGTATATTCCTATCAATACGTCGGTCCTTTTCCTTGAAGCCAAATGTGATTTGATGTTTGTTCCTTTTTAAACTTATTATAAAAATAAAGCAATATCTAAGAAAAATTCCATTGTTAGAATATGGCCTAATTTGTGGTCCAGAAAACAGGGGTATCAGATCCCTAAGGCGGTTAATGGGCGGATAAGGGTCCAGGACATTAGAATACAAAGGTGTTCTGAGGGGAGGAGTGGTAAGATATGAGTTTAGAAAGGTGAACGTTGATGCAGTACGTAGGGAGTGTGGGGAAAGAAAGAGAGGGCCTTTTTGCAAATTACTCTAAAGTGGGGGCTAACGGTGAGAATGACTGGCTAAACTGGACTGTGTCCCCCTACTGCTTTGTAAGTAATTCAGGGTGTTTTACAGTTTGTGAATATCAGAATCCAGGGAGCATGACTCGAGAAAAGGGAAGTATTATAGGATTTTTTAAAATGGCATCTTTTAATTAAGGTTTCCTTGGTCCAGTATTAAAATTAGACTTTATTTCCTGAGCACACACAAATGAACCTGGCAAGGGGAAGACACTGATGTGCTGCGTGATGGGGGAAGCCAGTCAGGATTAAAATACTGCTGTGAGTAACTGTGGTCCTTTTTATACTTAAAATAACTGTCTTTGTTGCTATTAACACTTGTGATGATGATTGTGTCAAAATCTGAAATCATTTCCTTGTCTAGATTTCACTATTCATCGAAAAGAAAGATTTTATTGTCCTGCTAAATACTATATTATCCTGTGAACATTTTCTAAGAACCTTTTATACCAAAAAGGGACATTTTACCCTAAGACAGACGTTTTGAAAATTTTACATGTTGTTGAATATTTTTTACTGTGGTAGTTGAGTGATTACATTTAGTTCTTTTCCTGCATCTTATTATATATGATGTTTCCTTGAACTTAAACATGCTGTTAAGCTTTCCAAATTTGTAAACTATTGATTAGCTGATTGGGGGTTAAAAACAAACAAAACAAAACAAAAAAACAGGCTCTTTCAAGGATTTCAATCAGACCTAGAAAAAATTGTGAAAGAGTTGGCATTTCTTTCTGCATCTTTGTGCCTCCATATCCCTTTATAACCATCTCCTGATCTTATCATCTCTACTCAGCACCCCCCATCCCTCCTCAGGACTCCTGCTGGGTCACCTGCTCATAGCATCCCATGTCTGCTCCCCTCATGTTCTCTCTAGCAGTCCTCCACTCCCAGCAAAATCTTTCTTCAATCTCCTTTCTATCTATTATATTTCCCCCTCTTTCAAGGAGGAATCGTTTTAATAGATAAATCCCTACTAATGTATTAATGTGTCATTTCCTTGGTAAAATATTGCAATTTAATAGCCTTTAATGATTTGACCAAATGAAGTTATTTTAACAGGAACTTGGGTACCACAGTATGCTCAGAGGAGAGAGGCTTACAACTTATACAGAGCTGTAGAGTTTTCAAAACATAATCAGGCTGCAAAGAGAGTTATCCATATCCTTGCACCTGCCTTTTAATCAGCATAAGGTGGAAAAACTGCAAATTAAAACTGATTTTTAAATCATTGTCATCTGAATCAGATGACTAGGTTATTTGCTGGGGCTTCTCGGAGAGGGTGCCTATCACTGAAGCCCCCAAATAATGGTGTACCAGCTCTAAAACCCGAGTAATGGGAGAAGCCTAGGAAGTATGAGATGTTGAGCTGGGAGAAAAGGAGCTGGTGTTTGCCTTGTATGAAGGACACAGCTGGGGAGGACTGCTCCTGGGTGTTCGCATGGCTCTTACCCAGTGGAGACCAGGGCTGGGAAGGGAGGGACTGAAGAAGGTATTGCTATACTAGTCAGCCAGCCTGCAGTTAGGGCATAATTGTCACAGGCTCAAAGCGCCCTATGTCCAGTTCTTCACCGTTTTCATTGAACTCCAATATCCAGAAATCTTTATGTTGTATATTTACACAGTTAATGATCTTCACTTTTCCTATATTTCCTTTTTTGGTTATGTAGTATTTTCTTAAAGAACTTTCTGAAAATGCATACCTGTCTCAGCTACGTTGAGAATAGACAAAGATTTCTCTGGATAGACACCTAAGAGTGGAATTGCTAGGTCATAAGGTAGTTCCATTTCCAGTTTTTTGAGATGCCTCCATACTGATTTCCATAGTGGCTGCACCAATCTGCAGTCCCACCAGCAGTCCACCAGGGTTCCCTTTTCTCCACAACCTCACCACTTGTTGTTTGTTGATTTATTGATGATAGCCATTCTGACCAGACAGAGGTGGTATCTCATTGTGGTTTTTATTTGCATTTCTCTAATGATTAGTGAGGTTGAGCATTTTTTCATATGTCTGT